TGATTAAAGGGCTCCTTGTTGTACAGGCCAAAGCTGATTGTGGAGCTGGTCCTGAGCTGCTGTGCAAACAGAGTTCAGATTAGAAAATCAAGTAGGGTGACTTTTTGATGGCTTACAGCATTTCCTCTGCAAGGGTCTGGCTAAACCGGTAAGCCTCGTTACAAGGTGTATGGATTTGTCAGTGTGGTGTCCTTTGGTGTTTTGATCAGCGGTGCTCGGTGTTAACCTGCCCGCAGATTGGCACTCGCCAGCTCCTTGCGTGCCGTGCGGCATCCGGCTGGTAACTCCCGCTGGGCCGCGCTCTGCCCGCGGGACGGCCGGCTGCGGCCTCTGTGGCCGTGGCTGAGCTGGGGCAAGAGGCAGGCTGTAAAGCCCTTGTGCAAAGAGCGTGCTGGTGAGACAAGCTCCTCCAGCTTTCTTGTTCTGAAGTTTTCGCAATGGGGAAGTTTCCCTCCACCTCCCTCTTTTAGCCTAAAATCCACGTTTAACTTTTCTCTGCTCTCTCACGTCTCTGGGGAATGCAGAAGGCTTTCAAAAGTACAGTATTACTTAATGAACTGTCTTTTGGTAGCTTGAGGTTTCCAGAAGACAGGTTAATTGTTAACCCTCATCCTCTCAGGCTTCTCATTATCCAGCTGACAAATGCGCTACTAGAAGGAAGCATCTTGCGAGATGGAGCGTTGTGAAAGAACGTATAGAATATTAACGTGATTAACTGAAAGCTTTAATGCGGTAATGGTGGGAAAAATAATTTAAGGGGAAGGCAGCTAAGCCTGGCTATGTTCTAATTCCACTCTTTATTTATTTAGCTTACAGTGCCTTGAAAAGGTGTCTTTCCTAATGCCTGGGCACCTTTCCAGGCCATTAAAAAGCTAGTCAGCTCAAATGACTGAGCCAGGAGCTATGCCTCATCCCTAACCTTTAAACAATTAACCCAAGATGAAGCTAAGCCAGCTGATACTTGGCATTGGCATCAGCCCTTGCTTCAGTCCTGCTTCCAGAGTCTCAGGAGAGAGATTTTGGAACTTGAACTGCACTCAAGTTAAAAGCAGGGCTTGCCAAGAGCTCCTCATCTTTGAGGTGCCTCCTTACAGCAGAGCAAGGAGGAGGTAAAGGGGGAGGTCAGCAGGCTGTGCCAGGCTTGGGGCAACCAGTCATTGCTGCTTTGAAAGCTGAGGACCCCTCAGGGCAGCACAGGCCGAGGTGGGAGGCTGGTGCTGCAGCAGCAGTGTGGACGTGCTGCTCTCAACTGCCAAGCCAGGAGCAAAGCACAAAGCCCCAGTAAGTGGCATGGGGTGAGGAAATCCTGATATTTAAAAACACTGTAAAAGAATGTGTCCTGTCTGAGCAGGGACATGAGTGCTTGTCAGAAATGGATGCCAGCATGAGAAATCCCACCCTTTGAATATTGTGGCTGGTGGTTTGCCAGTGTGATGCTTGCTCTCCCGGCTTCCTGGTCTGCTCAGGTGAGTGCTTTGCAGAGCAACAAGGACTGCACAAGAGGGCAGATGAAACTTTCAGGAGCCGGGACCTGAACCTCGAGTCCTAAATATATTGTCATGTGTGAACATAATTGGTTTGATGTTCTTCAGAGTCCTCAATAGCTCCCATGAGCAAGCTCCAATTCAGGACCATGGTTTCACATGAGGTTTCAAAATCATGGCCGCACACTGCATGTCTGGTGTGCTCTAGGCTGAGGGGAATTGGACTGAAAGCCAGCTGAGCATTTGGAGCTTGGGAGGCCACCACTGGTAGCCAAGGCTCAAAATGAGTGAATATTTAGGGTGCTGTTGAAACTAACCCCGATGTTACACCTCTTTCCTGTTTTTGTTGACCTCTGGAACAAGCGTCACTGATTTTTCTTCTTGCTACAATGACAGAAGAGCAGTGGGACTGGAGGAAGGAGAAGGGAGACAGGGTTGCCCACCGGAAAACGGAAACAAATCAATTGCTGCTGAGCTTTGCCAAGGTGTGAGAAGTGATAGTGCAAGATCAGGTGCTAGAGCATGCTTCAGGTTCTGGTTTGAGTGAGGAGTCCCTGGGAGTAAGAGGGAAGGTCAGAAAACCTTCTGATCCTATCAGAAACCTATTCCCAGATGATATTTGGGTTGGGACTTGGCAGCTGCATCCATCTATCTTCCCTGGAGGCAGCCAGAGAAATTATTCCCAACAAGCGCAGCAGATTGGTCAGTGGAGGATCAGGAGGCGTGGAGGGTGCAGTGAAGTAGAGAAGGCGTCTCTGGACGTGCTGTGTGGAAAGCTGTGACCACCCCCTCCTGTCCCTCACCTTGCATTGAGAGTAGCTGGGCCAGGGGGTGCCTGACCGCAGGGCTGGCTGGGGGCGGGCAGTAACGGGGCACCTGGAAGTCCAGCCAATGCAAGAGCCTGGGCTGACCGGGCCCATGACGGCAAGCTCCGGGGTTTTGCACGTGGAGGGGTGCCCCAGCTCCTGGTGGTGAAGTGCTGGCCTCGAGCTTTGCGTGGGGCTGCAGACAACAGCGCAGAGAAAGGCAGTGTGTTTGATGGGAGGTGCTGCCTGCAGAGCCTCGAGGTGTCCATCAGCTAACAACGGCCCAACTCCACTCGGGAGCTCCTCAGAGAGGTTTCACCGTGCTCCTCGGTGGGAAAACTGTCCCTCTTTGCCTTTTCTGGTCCTTCTTCTATTGATGTGGCACAACTAGGATGCAGTTGTTGCTACCAGTGAGGTCTGACACAGAACTAGATTTGGGATTTCTGAGGAACGTTAGCCAGCGAGGTCTGTTGGACTTTTGAGATTGCTCTTTGTAGCTATATCCAAGTACCTGGTCCCAGAGGGTTGGACCCAGGTGCGTCCATTGCTCAGCCCAAGACTGCATCTCTGGAACCACTCATGGGTTGTAAAGCCACCTGCCAGCCAAGCCGCCAGGCCGCCGTTGCATAGGAGATGCTGCAACATGTTCCCTCCTGCATCAGGCCTGGCCTTTAGGTTTCTGCCCGTGTCTCATGATCGTTTGCGTCCCTCTGCTCTCTCCCGATCAGCTGGGAGTACTGAGCCTCCAGGGTGCATCCCCCGGCCTCCTCGCCTTGCCTGGGTGCGGGAGCACGGTCTGCTGCAGCAGCCAGGGCAGGCGTCTCCTCCGTTGAGATGGCAGTGTTTGGGCAGTCCCATTCGGTGCTCCCCAGGGCCCCTGGCAGGGCTGTGATCAGACAGAGCCTCCCAGGCAGAAACCTGCTGGTGTGTGCCGCCTGCGAGCGTGCCCAAGGCGTGGGCGGGCTGCCTCACGCTGGGGATGCAGGGCTGCACCCTCCTGTCCAAAAGCTCCTTGCTTTGGGCTCTCCTTCCGCGCTGAAGCACGACCGCTCACCCGACAGCAGCGTGCAGCACCCCTTGCTCTGCTCGGCTCGGTTCCTGGCCCCCCCCTCCCAGCAGGTTTCTCCGATCGCGGGGCAGGGCAGTAAGCAGCACGCTGCTGCTAGGGCTCTGCACTCGCTGCCGCAGCTTCCTTCAGTAACCACAGTAACTCAAACGGGCGCTTCCTTTGCTATCTTGAGTCCAGAAGGAGTCCTTACATTGTTCAGCGTAATACAAACCTAGTGGCGTCTTGCAGTTACCCTGCATTGAGCTGAGCAACCGAAGCTTGATCAGAATTGTTTTGTCTTGCCTAGAATTTATTAAGAAATACCAAATCCTTGGTCTGCCTCGGTAGGTTGTTCCATTAGTTACTCTGCCTCCCTTCTGAGAAGCTGTCATGTTTCTCATTTGAACTGCTTTGGCTTTAATTTCTGTAGATTCTTGTTAGAAGTTAAGAGCTCTGTTTGCAATGCTGTCTGTACGCAACTGCAGATGGTGTCCAGAAGAAACCGGGTTCTCCCAGCATACGGCATGCATGCAACTGTGGTTGCAATAAAGTCTGCAGAAAAATGCAGAAAAATTCTGTTTTAAGAAAGCTCAAAACATTAGAAGTATACCTTAAGCAGCTTGATTCCCTAGGAGCAGGCTGCAGAGTGGTTGGCGTCAGAGCACAAAGATGTTTATTGGGTATGGAAACCATGGATGTTTTTTTCCTGTCTTACCCCACCAGATTGATGTGGAACTTGAGTAGTGTCCAGACCTTATGTTGGTTTTCTACATACCAATTTTACCTGGTGTTTTCTATGCTAAGACCGAGTTGAAAACAATAAATCCCCAAACAAACCAATGCGTTCCTCTCTTATTGTTATAGCAACACATAAAGTAATAAAGCTGGGTCTTGGTGACTTGGATAAGGTCCACAGCAGTCGGTGGCAGTTAACTGAAGTCCATTAACTGTACCTCCAAAGCCAGCTGGCATGCGAAATGCAAAGGATGTTGGTTCCCTGCCAATATTTGATGCAAGTTGGTAATCTTTATCTTTTATTTTCCTCTTAGGATCCCCGGAGCAAGCACAAATTCAAAATCCACACGTATTCCAGTCCCACCTTCTGTGACCACTGCGGGTCGTTACTGTACGGGCTCATCCACCAGGGGATGAAATGTGACAGTAAGTGTTGTAATTGGTGGCCGTTGTTGCAGAGAAGGAAGCAGTGAGTGCCTGGCGGCTTGGCAGGCTCGCTGGAGCGAGAGCCTGGCGGGTGGCTCCGGCCCGTGGAGAGCCGGGGCAGAGGCTCCCAGCCCACCTGGGCTGTGGTGAAAGCTCCTCCTGTTTGGCTGCTGGCCGGCCGTTGGTCCACCCCACGCTGTGAGGCTCCCTAGCGCCCCAGGGACCGGGCCGAGCAGGCACGTCCCTGCTCTGGTTGGGAGGCCCCGAGTGACCCTCCAGGGCAGAGGTGGACATCAGGCTGGGACAGGGACGGGGAGCAATCGGGGTCCTGCCTGCGTCCCCCTGCACAGCTTCACCCGCAGCGCCGGCTCCGACTGACACCCTGCGGCCGGGCCGGCGCCTGCCGTCTTCTGCAACTGTCGCAGCCTTTCTAGAAAGCACTTCTGTCTGCAGAAGCCTGACCTCCGGCGCACGGGTAGTGGGGGGAGTTGCTAAACAGGGGTGGATGGAGGAAGAGGAGGGGATAGAGAGAGATCAGTTATTTTCCAAATTAATCTAGTGCATTTCTGTTTAAACTGACTGTGAATATACAGCGTCTGCTTACATGCTTACGCCATCTGCAGGGAACAGCGTTCGCTGACGCCTGCCATGTGCTGGCTTTCTCATAAATATAGAAGCCTGCTGACTGTTATGGGAACAGTGTATTCATTATCACCTTTAAAATGTTAGCAAGAAGAAATGAATTTATTTAAAATATATGTAAAGGTAAAAACATGGTGGGGGAGGGTTAGTGCCCCTTCTTAGGCCCTGGTGAGTCCCGCTGAATTCCTAGCGTTGCACCGTGGGCGTTACGGAAGAGAAGTCTGATCTGTCATTAAACTTCAGAGGAATTAGAGCAAGGGGTAAAGGCCCTGTCATCTCTTCAGGCAAGATCCTGCACCGAAACGCTGGTAGCGGTGGGTCCCTGTGTCTGTGCAAGGCTCTGCTGGAGCTCCAGGCTTCCAGCTGGGTTTGAAGGTCCATTCGCTCAATGTCTGTGCCCCAGAATCCCCCGCAAACGTGCTCGGTTAAAAGGAGGCAAAATTCTTCCTTCTCATCCGCTCTGAACATCCATGTGCGCTATGATGGAGACGATAGAAGGTGCTGAGTGAATCTTTCTTTTTTTTTCCACCTCTGCAGCCTGTATGATGAACGTGCACAAGCGCTGTGTGATGAACGTCCCGAGTTTATGTGGAACGGACCACACCGAGCGTCGGGGCCGGATATTCATCAGGGCTGACATTGAAAAAGATGTTCTAACCGTTGTAGGTAGGTGTGTGACTGAAATACAAACACTACACAAAGGATCTTCTCGTTCCTGTGCGTGCCCATAGGAAGAGCAGAGCTGGGTCACCCCGGAGGCCCGACTCGTCCGGCGCCTGGTGCCTGGCTGTGGTCAGGAGCGGTGCCTGGAGAGGCAGAAGGACGATGCTCTGAGCCTTCTCCAGCCCACGCTTCTTGTCTCTGGCGGTCAGCGGCTCAGGAGTTTCTAGAGCCGCGGTGATATCTGTATGAAGTAGTCTTTGTTAGATTTTTTTTTCAATCACAGATTTTTCTAATTGCTTTTTGAATCATGTAAAATTGCAGTATCTGCAGCATCCCCGGAAGGGAAGGTGGAAAGCTTTTCAGTTTAACTATGCTATGTGAAAAAGAATATTGTTTGTTTTGCGCTGTCCGTGTAGTAGCGAACGTTTGTTTCCTGTTGATCTTTGTACTCCTTGAATTGTAGATGGACCCAAACAGGTCTTGGTCTGAACTTAGGACAGTCCTTTTATCTGACTGCTTTAGCTTTGCAACCTTCTTCCACTGATTTAATGAAACGGGAAGTCCAAGGCCTTCCCCATCATCGGAGGTGCCTGCCATCATCCCATGTAGTGCTTAGGGCTGAGACTGTTTGGGGCAGAGGCTGTCACTGTGATAGGTATTTACAGAATGGGATCAGGGGGGTCTCAGCCCTCCACACTAGTGGGCTGAGGATAATCATCACTCACTGGATTTGCTCATTATTCCTCAGGGCCCTAGCGCGTAGCTCCCACAGCACATAGGCTCCCAAACACGTCCGTGGCAGTGATGTGCAGAGCGCTGCGAGCTGTGTTGGGTGGCTGCTGCCTGGCTTTTACTGATGCGCATGCTGGGGGCAGTCAAGATCACGTTTGGATCTCGAACAGGCTAAATCTCTGCGTGCTTGGGCATTGCCAGGCGAAACGTGGAGTGCCAATGCCCTCTCGTGGTGCCTGCCTGCAAGAAATGTGCAAGCACAGGCAGTTTTGGTGAAGATGAAAGAGGAGGGCTTACAGTCTGATAATTAGACACCTTGGTCAGCAGAGGCTCCCAATAAGCCATAAACGTCCCAGTATCCTGAATGCTGTCTTTGGGGAAAAACCCTGTGTCCCAGATCCCCGTTTCCTCTTCTCTTACCTTGAGAACTTGTCCATTCTCACTTTGTGGCAGGAGAAGGGTTTATACCTTCTCAAAAGGCTTTTGCAGCCCAAATTTTGGGTTCCCAGGAAAGTCACTTCCCTGCGGACCCATAAGCATCTCTTAAAACATGAGCTGTGTTCTTGCAAAGCCACTTGTGTCCTCTGTGTGGAGAGATCAGATCAAAGCGTGGACTTCTTGGGTCAGGGCTGGTGACAGCTGTCTCATCATGCAGATGAGCAGCAGAGCATGCGAAGGGGAAGGGATCGGTCTCCAGCGGGAAGGGATGCAACTTGCCAAACAGATGGGGTTTTTCTCACAAAGACTGAGCCCAATGAGCTGGGGAAGGAGATTTCTGGCTGCGGCTGCCGTTTCTGCTCGTGAAGCTCTTCGGGGTAACCAGGCAGCTCGGGGTGGTTACCATCTCTGTAGGGGGGCTGGAAAAGTTTATTCACAGGATGAGTCAGGACTGAGGGGCCTAAAATACCACCTACTTGCCCACGCTTAAAAGGTCAGCCTTCCTCCTGAGTGAGCCTCTGTGTGTGTATCAGGCTAATGACTTCGATAGCGGGGGCTGAATCCTTCAGCGTAGCCCTGCCAGCTTGTGCAGACGCTTTCTGGAGAAGTCAAGTCTCCAGCGTCCTGCGTGGTGGCTCAGCTTAACAGCAGGAGATGCAGATACCCCACCGTGTCCATGGGGTTGTCTTTAACTGGCCGAGGTTAGCCGTCCTGCCTGCTCGTTGACCCCGTAGTGGGTGTTGTATTTCCCAGGCGGGGGGTGTTTGGGTGTCAGGCTGTCGAGATCTCACTGCTCTGGTCTGAATCGCTCTCGCTCTGGGAGCGCAGGGTTGACAGAGGGCATCTGGAAGGACAGCTATAAAGGGTGTGATCCCAGAGGAGAGGGCTTTAGCCCTCCCAAACCAACCCCACCTGCTCCTTCTCTGCTTGCCCGTGGTGTGTGGCCCGAGCTGGTCTGTCCGGGATTACGGGGGAGAGAGCAGAGCGTCCTTCCTTAGCTCCCGCAGCGGCCGTGCACTTTGGACATGGTGAGAACAGTCCGGCAGTGACACAAGTGACCCCAGCCTTGCAGGAGAGGACGTTTGGGCGTGTTTTGAGCGTGCTGCGTGAGCGCAGAGAAGCGCGGGCTTTGTGCCCGCACCGCTGCGTAACGCAGGGTTTGTGTCCTCCGAAGAGCTGGTGGGGAGCGTTGCGTGTGCGAGGATGTGTGCGGAAGGTAGGCAGTAGGTATTAATTGGAAAGAGGTTACAGGATGGCGGCAGGAACAATGCGAGGTTAGGAAAAATGTGTTTTAGGGCAAGACGCACTGAATCCCACCTGTTTATCTAAGAGAAGCCCTAGTCCTAGTCCAGAAAGCACTGAGGGCAGGGGGTTGGCAGTCCAGCCAGCGCAGGCGCAACGACATGCAGTGGGTGCGTGCTGGAACGGGGACTGCTGGCAGAAAGAAAAGCCAGGTTTTTGAGCTATGCCTAAGGAAGTTTTTTCTGTGGTCCAGAAAGAGGCAGCCCAAAATCGCTGGCGGGTGCGATCTGACCGTGCCGCGCGCAAGGTCAGGTTACGGAGGCGCAGCATCCCTTCCGGCCCACAGCTCCGTCAGAAACGTCCTCAGGAAGAGTATCAGGTTATTGAAGGTATCAGTGACGATTTGAGAAGAGCACGTGTTGTTTTCCCTAAGGGAGAACTCCAGTGAAACGCCCAGCGTTTTCTTTGACGCGAGCGCTGCTTTCCAGGTACCTTTCCTGCAGGGGAGGAGGCAGGGCCGGCGTCGTCCCCCGTCCCGGCGGCCGTG